AGAAACATTATATTAAGATTAACTGCTAATTCAGATATCTTTTCTGTGAATTAGAATATTACTAAATTAAAATCTCAGTATAGCAGATTTTAATTTGGCAGATCCCTGATTAGCAATAGTAAATTCTCACGATGTTCTTTGAGATTTGTTTTGTTTGTGGATGTAAAAAAAAATCATGTGGTGGAACAAAAGCATAGTACCACTTTTCATGCAAAGGTACTCGATTAGTTGTTTTTGTGTCAAATTTCCCTCAATTTTTACTATGTATGACACACTCATTTATTCACAGATCATCAATTAACTGTTCTCAATTTGGTACAAACATGTAATGAAGTGAAAAATAGCCATCTTTTAGCAGAAGGGATGATATGTGGTTTAAGCTTATTAGAAGAAAATCCAGAACTTTATAAGAATATTGCAAAGAAAACATTAATTTTTATACCTTTGATGATACTGAATATCAAGTTGAGCTTACATTGGATCAGAAAAACCTCATAAAAGAAATTGTTTTAAATGGCAATTTTAATGTCCATTGAGTTCTATTATCAGCTCTTGTGATCAAACAAATTATTATCACATTATCATCATCATGTTTTAATTCAATCTTTATAGATGCGTGATTTTGTCCATCTTTTATAAAATGAGAAATATTTCTTATATCCTTGAGAAACTTTGTTTTTAAATGAGGGAATAAATAAACAACAAGTAATATCGATCAATAGTTATTATTACCCTTCTAATATAACTTATTTTCATCAACAGATTAGCATAATGATATAAAACATTTAAATTCCTAACCAAAGTATTACATCCCAAGCCAAGAGCAATAGCAAACATGAAAGCACTTCTACCCTCATTAGGTCCAATAATTAGATTGAGATTTGGATCAGGTCTAAACTCTACCAACTCATAAGTCATAAAATTATTCAATTCAATGCAAACAATTTCTCCATTTTGATACTGCTTGGAGTATAAAATATTACTAAAAAATGTTAAATTAACAAACAGAAAAGAATTTTAAAATCCTTGCCATATCATCATCATCATCATCATTGCATCTTTTGCCTCTAGTTTTTCCAACATATTTTTCATGGTGAGTCGCAGCATTCTCTAATTTTTTAATTACAAAAGAAAAATCAAGTATTTCAATAATATTATTAATGGATTTTGAATATTCCATCAAAACATAATTTACTTACCAATTCTTGCGCTAGTGATGGTTGGAATGAACTGCTACTTAATATATAATAAAAAATAAAGTTTATAAATATTTAACCAGAATGAAGACGCGTCGCGACCACCACAACTATATAC